GAGTTTTTTTTCTAACTCTTCGGTAGTATAAGTTTTTTCTTTGCGGTTAGAAACTTCCAAAGCGTCCCGAATATCCTCTAATTCTTCCAAGTATCTATTTAAGGCTTCTTTAATGATAAGATTTTTGGGCTTGTTTGTAGCAGCCTCTAAATAATTTAACTGTTTTTCTATTTTTTTGGGTAAATCAATAGTTAGGTTTGCCATATTAAGTTATTTTACCAATATATTTTTTTTTGTCTTAAAAATTTTATTCCTCCGCTTTTTTTTCATATATTCCTCCTATTTTAGTCATTTACTTTAAACATTTTTGGAAAAATAACCCTTTTTTTAGTCCTTTTTGGAAGTTATTCCCGTCATAAGGGGGCATTAGGTCGGTTTTAAAAACTGATTTGTGAATATTAAAAACTTATAAAATAATTCATTATGGTAAATGCCCAAGAATGGTTAGAAAGTCAGGAAGGATATAATACTAAAGAAAAAAGAACAAAAATAAGAGAATTAGATATTAGACATAAAGACCTAGCAGGCTCTCTTAACTTAACTGATTTTATTAACTTAACTGAACTTGATTGTCGAGGTAATAAACTTACTGAATTAAACTTAACGGGTTTGAGCCAATTAGAGAAAATTAGTTGTTGTAATAATTATTTAACTAATATAGTTTATCCCTCAAATGCTAATAAATTAACTTATTTAAAGATAACTAATAATAATCTTTCCGAACAAGACTTAGCAGTTTTTAGTAAGTTGGTTAATTTAGAAGAGTTGAAAATTGGTAGTAGTGATAAAGAAAGAATTAATCAAGGCACTTATAATCGTTTCGCTGGCAGTTTAGAAACTTTAAAAAATCTAACTAAATTAAAGTGACTTGATATTAAAAATACTGATATAAATAGTGGATGAGAATATTTACCAGCCAGTGTCAAAAATATTAATTATTCCAATAAAGAAAGACCCGCCAGTAAAGTTAAAGAAATTGCTGAACAACTAAAATGAATAGGTAAAGGTTTCGGTGGTCAACAATTAAAATCCTGAATAGATTTTGGTTTGCAACCTCAGGATTATGGTTTTGCTTGTTATCTTACTAGAAAAGATTATCAACCCCAAGCAACTCTAAATTTAGGGGAATTAAGAGAAAGATATAATAAAAGCCAAGCATGATTAGATGAAAATTATCCAAAAGAAGAAAGAAGTGAAGTATATGAAATCCACCTCACTGAACCCAGTTTAGTCGGGGAATTGGATTTAGGGGATTTTACTTCTATATTTGGTGTAAAAGTATTAGTTTCCTTGTCAGTAGATGAAACTAAACTAACTTTTAAAAACAAACCATGAAGTGCTGAAATTATTAAACTAATCCAGGCTCAGGAATATGTAGACCAGCAATATCCAAACAAAGAAGCAAGAGAAAAAGTAACTGAATTAGATATTAGTAACAAAAATCTCGAAAGAAATCTTGACCTCTCCGATTTTATTAGTTTAAAAGAATTAAGATGTTCTAATAATAAACTAACCTCCCTCAATTTAAGTAATTGTAATCAGTTAGAGTGAATTGATTTTTCTTATAATCAACTAACCAATCTTACTCTACCTAATAATCCTACTAATTTAAAAGAATTAAATTTAGGAGATAATAACTTCCCTAACCAAAAATTAATCGATAAATTTGGTTCCTGTTTTAAATGCTACCAACCTAATACTAGTTGAAAATGATGCCAACCTTGTAGGGAAAAAGAATGACAGGCAGGTATAAAACACTTAACTAGACAAGAATTAGTAGAAAAGTTTAATGAAAAAAAATATCCAGATTATAAAAAAATAAATTGAATTCCTCATGAAGAATTTGAAGTCGAAAAAGATGAACAAGGTCATCCTAAACTTTTCGCCCAAGGAGGTTTTAGTAAGATTTATAAGGCTAAATGTAAGAAAATAAAAAAATACAATAAATATGCTAGTGAAGATGTGGTTCTCAAGTCCCTGACTAATTCCCAAAACCTCACCTTAGAATTTTTAAATGAGATTGCTAATACTAAATTAGTTGATGGTGGTGGTAGGATTGTAAAATGCTACGGTATTTCCCAAGACCCTGAAGCAGGCAATTATCTAATGGTAATGCAATATAAGGAAGGTGGCAATTTAAGACAAATTTTACAGAATAAGAATAAGGGATTAAGTTTGGAAGATAAAATTAGTAATTTATGAATTATTGCTAGTGGATTATATGATATTCACCACCAAAACCTAATCCACCGAGATTTCCATAGTGGGAATATAGTAGGATTTAGTATCACCGACCTCGGTTTATGTCAACCAGTTAATTCGCAAAAACAAGAAGGCAAAATCTTTGGAGTCCTGCCTTATGTCGCTCCCGAAGTCTTACAAGGACAACCCTATACTCAAGCCAGTGATATTTACTCTTGGGGCATCATTGCTTATGAATTATTCGCTAATTCTTATCCTTATACTGATAAAAACTTGACTGATACTAGTTTGACCTTGGCAATATGTAATGGTTTACGACCGGAGATAGATAAAGTTCTAATACCTCAATTATTTAAAGATTTAATTAAAAGATGTTGAGAGGCTGATCCCCAAAAAAGACCTAATACTGGGGAGTTATATGGGATTATTGATGGTTGGTGAGACTATTATAATCGAAGAGTTAGGGAGGACATCCCTTTCTACCACCAATATCAAGCCCTAAAAGAAGAATACAACAATTTCTCCCAAAACACTCCTTATCAAATCCATCCCACTGCCATTACTACTAGCAAAATGATAGATACTAAACAAATCGTGCAATTACTCCAAGATCCTACTAAACAACAGGAGGCTTTAGAATTAACTGATGAATTGAAAAAAATGGTAAATGATTTTATTCAGACTAGAAAAAAAATGATAAAAAATGAAGAAGATAAAGAAACAAGAAATAAGATTAAGGAGTTAAATAAAAAATTAAGAGAAAAAGGACTCTCAAGAGACAATTTAGATAAAATTATTAAATATTGTGAAAGATTTATTGATAAAGAGGAAAAAATAGAATTACAAGCCCAAATTGAACAAAAATAAATAAAGTATTTTTAAATTAATAACACTATGGTAAAAAATCAAAACGAATTTAACGAAGAATTTAACGATAAAGAAATAAAAGAAGTAGAAATTGAATATGAAGATGAAGATGATTTCAAAGGAAATTTAGTTATTGAAGACTATTCAAAATTAGAAAATTTATATCTACGAGATGTTAAGAGTGTAGACAAAATAACTCTTAAAAACTTAACTCAACTTCAAGAATGTACTATCTGAAACTGTGGTGCTAAAGAGTTGGTGATCGAAGATTGTCCTAAAATAAAGAAACTGAATGTTCGCAAAAATCTTTTAACTAGTTTGGAGTTTCTAGCAAACCTAGAAAATTTAGAGGAATTAGAAATAGATGGTAATACTAAACTAACTGAGATTTTAAACTCTTATGAAAGTGACTGAAAGACTTGCCAAAGAGATATTCAAGGACTAGTCAAGTCAGTTAAAGAAAACCCTCGAGCATTATCAGAATTAAAAGTAAAATATGCTGACTTAAAAATTTTTCTAAGAGAAGTCTGAGACTCACTTTCGGATGAAACACAGAAAAAGTTAATGAATAAATTAGATGATGAAATAAAAAACCAAGAGCAAATAAATCCTATAGATAGAGGAGGATTGAACACTGCCGAAATAGTCCTTGGTGTGCAAAAGTCTCTCGAAGGAATGAAAGAAATAAAAAAAGATTTAGAAATGAAAGTTAAGGAATTAGAAAATAATTTACACAAAGTAGTAACTAAAAAAGATGAGTTAGAAAAGCTAAAAAATGAATTTGTAGACAAAAGTGTTGGTCATATTGATTTTGACAGTAAAAAGAAAGAGAAAATACGAAACAATTTAGAGATTTATTTAGCCTCCGTTGGTCGGCAAGATAACTTAGCTAAACTTGCAGGAAATCAGGCAAGAGATAAATTATTAAAAGGAAAAAAAGAAGACTCTGAAATTGCTAAGTTGCTAAATAAAATTGTCGAAAAGCAAAAAGAAATTTCTTCTCTAGAGAATCAAAAAAAGTATATAGGAAAATCATTAACCGAAAGTACCCAAATTCTAATTAAAGAAGAAAGTAGCAAGTCTGAAAAAAGTTTAGAGTATCGAAATGAAAAAAGTGAAATTCAGGTAGGAGTCCAAATTCCGAAATTCGGTGTCAATATAGGATATTCGGGACGCTTTGGAAGTTTCTAACCGCAAAGAAAAAACTTATACTACCGAAGAGTTAGAAAAAAAACTC